CACACGATGGAAGTTACAGATGCAGGGGTCATTAGGATTTGGAATAAGGGTCTTTTATTGCCAAAGTCTTATGCAAGACATGTATAATTTCAATATAGCTATGGTTAATAGATATAATCAAAGGAGGAATACATAAATTGATTCAAAGACACTACATGTATGACATCAGTTGTCATAGTAACCACTCAAGTAGTGAGATCAAATCTTCCCAGTAAGAATTGCCAGCTGTAAAAGTCTGACAGAATTTCAATACTTTTCCCACTCTAATGACATAGGATTTTTTTTTAATTGCTTTCCTTGTTACACATTGGAAATGAGGAAGTGAGGGTGAATCTTCTCACTGGGCACACAGACAGCAATTCAAGTGTATGTATTGGTAAGACTTTTTAAGTAAAGTTTTCTATTCCCTATCGCTTTCTGTATTGGTGACACTCTATATGCAGGACATATGGAGTGGATAAATCTACCCAGTAGGAGCACTAACAGCAATAAATATATTACAGGGGTTATAATTGTAATGCTGCCTTACGCTACATTTTTGGTTCTCAGAGGTTGTAATCCTTCCCCACTCTTTCACAACAAATTATGTACGGAGTTTCAGTTTATTTTTTACTAAGATGGTAATCTCATAGCATGTTAAAGCAGTTTATGGAAGAGATGGATTGACATAAGTAGTGGACCCTAATTGCATATATGAATGCATGAAATGGATACCAAAAAATAGGAAGTGCTGGGTATTTTGCATATATTTGGCAAACCACAATTGCAATATTCAATGCACATCAGGAAAAAAAAGAAAAGAAAAAAAAGCAAGAAAAGGAAAATAATTATTTAAAGGCCTTACTGGTAATCTTGGCCGTCCCACAGGGTCTTTCAACAGACATCCAAGACTACTCTAAATAAACATAACACATAATGATGTTTTGAATGATGATTGAAAACAACTTTTGGAAGCATACTAACATGTTAAAGCTGATATGACATTTTATTTATTGATTGATTGATTATAAATATTATACAACAAGTAACACAAATTATCAGTGCAAAACTATAGCATATAGCAAAATATTATTTTATATTTAAAATGAATACATTGAAAATAATATTAATAATAATAATAATAATCTAGAAATCTATTTTCTTCCATCATCTAACTAAACAAGTTTTCCAAAAAACAGGTAGTATTTATATTTCTCATACTTCTCTTTGCCTAGTTAATTTAATGAACGAATAAAGATTGGCCATATATGAGCAGATCTCAGTAATCAACTATTAGCTAAGAAAATTAGGAAACCAAAACCTACTAAAGGTGGAGGAACAAAGAGTTTCACAGAGCCTTGTGATTACTGCCAACCTTGGAATTACTGCCAAATGCAGCAAATTCAAAGCTCAAAGTTTTTGCTTCTCCGTAGTGCCAATTGTAAGTGACAGTTTGATTTTTCCCCTTTCCATTCTTCTGGGCTATGGTTATTATTAAACAGAACTACACCTTCTTATCCCTTACAGCCAAGGTGGGTGCCATTTTACCCTCTGTTTGAACAGAAGTTGCCATGGTGTTGCACATGTAATCAGCTATGACTCTAGCTTCCAGCCATTTGATGGCTATAACGTTCTGTTGAGGACTGAAAAAAGCACACTGACAGCCTTAACAGTTTGTATACCTTAAAAGTAACTGCTTTGGGAGACAGTAAAATTGTTGGGTGAAGTTCAACTTTTAGGGCTGCCCTATAGATGCACAGAATGGCAGGGATGGCAAAATGCTGGAATTCTGTTGCAAGATATTTATGGGCTATATGCAGGTGCAGAGGTCTAACTGATCAAAGCGGGCAGCTGGCTTGACCTCTACTGCATTAGAAGAATACTAGATTGCCTCAAAATGTGTCCTTGTTTGTCTAGCTGCATTACGTGGGCTTCACTGGCAGGCTAAACTGGTGTTTGTGGGAACTAAGAGAAAACTGTAAGTTCAGATGTACTTAACATTAAGTACTGAATTATATTTTTTTAACAAGATGCCATAGTTCTACTTTAAGTAGGGCCTCATGTATTGCCAATTTTACTTAAACAATATACCACAGCAACCCCAAAAACATGGATTTAAGTAGCTTTTACACAAATCAAGATTCCACAGGCAAATATACACATAATATGAACATTTGTAACATTTGTAAATGTTAATTACCTCCAAATATGCTATTTGTTAGAAATAAAGGCAATAAGGATAAATACATTACCAATACAGCTGTGAGATCTTTATAAAGAATTTGTTCATTTTGGCCCTGCATAGAAGATGTTATACTATTATCACAATTATTGTAAACAAAGCAAACCAGGGCCATTCAAACTGAGCATATGATTAAAAAAAGTTTTTAAAAAATCAGAAATTACCTTGAGTGAAAACTGCATTTCAATTTATCCTAACAATTCATAGCTCCATAAGTTTAGGCACTTTAATTTATATGCAAAGCTCAACTTTTCCTGTTGAAATGGTGCATAATTCTGTCTGACTCACTTTCCAAGGTTCACTCTTGGTAATTTAATATAATGGGTGATCTAATTGGTCAAAGCTCAAGGGGGTGATAGGGGCAAGATTGTGCTAGTCTTGTACTATAATGATCAATTAGAATCACTGTCTTGTTTTCTCCTCCCTGTCACCCAGCGCTTAGGAAACCAACAAAAAAAGGTTATGATCAAATCACATTTGACTCATAACAAACTTAGAAAGCTATCTAGAGCAAAAAAAGCTAAAAAGCAGTCCATGTGCCACTACTTTATTATTAGAGGTATTTAAATGATTTTCAAATGGGCTATGTGTCCCATGGGCTACCATGTGAAGATGATGTACACATTACCAACCAAAAAAATGCTTTCCCCTTACTCTCTGATAAGAAAACCTGCCCCCCTGACACCTTCCCAAAATGTCTGCCCACATTATAAACCAATGTGCATTGTAAAGTATCCTATAGCAGTGATACATTTCAGGGTGGCTGAGTTTACCGCCTTGCCCTTGCATCTATATAGCAAACAGGACATAAATGTCAAATGTAGTATGTGCAAGGTACCACACCACAACATTCAAAATCCCCATGTGATATAAAAATAGTAACAAATATATATGGTTCCTTGTTTATGTATTTTAAATGCTGCTTTGTCTTTTTGACATTCCTACATTTCCAATTACTAATGTACAATACGTACCTACAAATAATATATATATATATATATATAG